TTACAAACGGGAAATTGATGCCCCAACACCCGATTGGGCTGTCAATTTCCCGTGCGCGTAATACAAAATGACTGAAAAACGGCAAATTTCGCAAGGCTATATTATCCGCATTTTACAACATTTCGCAACGAAACTTTGGAATATTACTAATTTTGTGATGCTCTTTCAAGCTGTGATGAAATTTTTGTCTAGATCAAAATTTAGTCTATAATGCAAATGGTCCATTGACTAAAATGATATTAATAACTTAATTCGCTGGCGGTGGTATCAGGCTCCGAGTGCCCTTTGATTGTTAGCACCCTTACTATCCTGGTATTTTTATGTTTCCTCTGTAATATTTTTCATTTTAAATATTTCTAGATGGGTTATGGTAAACGTGCCTTACAGATGCTGATTCAATATTATGAAGGCAAGATAGCGAATCTCTCAGAGGACACAGTACAGTCCGCAGACCAAGAAATCCAACCAACTGAGTTGAATGAGGTAGAAATTTCTTGCAGTTTTGCATGGCTAATGATATACAATTATTGGACGAGATCTGCGAGCCACTGACAATTCGCGATATTTTGCGATATTCGAGTTCAATAATTGTTTTATTATTTGCTTATATTATTCATTTTCGAAATTTTGTGGCCGTCACGAAGTTCGACAAATCTGTACAATAACAACATCTGAAAATTTAACAAGCCATGTTTACTTTTGTGTTTATTTGAATTGCTTTTCAAAAATCCTAGATATCCGCATGCGTAAATCGATATTTTGTAAATGAGAATTGATTTCAAAAGTGCGCATGCTCAGACCATTGTTTGCACCAGTTATTTGCAGCTGACGTATTTATTTATTCTCATCAGTTATTTATAGGAAAATTAGCGAATCATGTTTGAGAAAACGAATAAGTAAATGATAATATCAGTTATGGTTTGTGGTAACACCACGTGACTTTATTACCCCCGGTTCTGGTGTACGGGCAAGGGTGATATATACGTACCCGTAGCCATAAATCGGGAAATACGACATGCAACTTTGAGAAATCCAAGATATTCCGGATAGTCGGCCTGATAGAGAATCAGAAATGAATGAAAATTCGCCATATCGGGGCAATTCCATTTTCCCTTCATCTTGGGCCTTTAACCAGATGATCTTGATACGCGGAAAAGTACTGGCACTAGTTGTCAAATAGAAATCCATTTTGTGATGAAAACAACTGAATATCTCCTGTAATATGCTTTATTTCGATTCCATATTTTTGTCAGAGCTATAGTTCTCATAACCAAACATAATTACAAAATTTCAACTAGTTTCATAAAGAATAACGAAAGCTATAATTGACTGAATACATCAAAATGGATTTCTATTCGGACAACCTTTTCTGAGCGCTGATTGGCTAAAATACGAACACGAGTTCACCTGGAAAGTTGGTAAGTACATTTGTGCATGTCGCCAGCGTTCAAATGTCTTGTGGGCTGCCAACACTTTTTTCTTGGATTTTCCTATTAAACTCCTATATTGTTAAAGACGTGAAATTTCAGGTGCATTTATAGAAAAAATAACTTGCATCATCATCACAAAGCTGACGAAAAACTACATGCAAGACCTTTAAACGGTTACCTTAATTTTTCAAGGTCTTCTTAGGTCTTGAGCTTTTGAAAACGTTTTTTGAAAACTTTTCTCACCTAACTGAGATCTGCATGCCATTTGTTAACGCATATAAAATTTAATTTATTTGTTTATTTATATAGCTTTGCCAACTAGGGCAGGGTCACCACAACAGCCTATGCCAATTACTGTGGGCCCTCTTTACCGAACCCACCCTGTCAACTTTCCCTGTGGGAGGAAACCGGAGTACCTGGGGACAACCCACGACTTTCGGCAGAGCGTTGACTTTTACTCTTTTCACGTGAGGACTGGGTTCGAGTCGCATTGAGAAAGTTCTCACTGAGGTGTGAACCTGCGACCTCAGAGGTGAAAGGCAAGTGCGCTAACCACTTCGCCAGCGAAGCCCCATGTGTTCATATGAGAAACGAGCCAGCCTGGCTAAGCGAGATCTCGCCTTGCGCTAGGTCGCATTTCAATTGAGTGGGATAAAATTTTCCATATCGAAGGATCTGCTCCAAAAAACATACCTTGACCTGATTGAACAAACACTATTAAAGTCATCATTGTTTAATTACAACAAAAATATTTCAATGCCGCAATGTTTAGAGTAATTATCGAAGGCCTTTGGTATTTTTCATTATTTCGTGTTCCTTGTAGTCTGGTGATTTAGTGAAAGAAACTATTGGACCTCGTAGTAATCTGCCGCCATTGTTACTGAAACTGAACGAACGCTCTGCAGAGAAACTGGATTACCTTGGCGTATCTTATGGACTCACCAATGATCTCTTACGGTTTGTATAACGTATAGCCTTTTTCTAGTTCTATATATATAATAGTAGTATAACGTGGACTTTTTCTATTTCTATATAGAGCAGTATCAATAACAGTAGTATAACGTGGCTTTGTTCTTGCAGTATATTGAAATACATGCTATGCCAAAAAGTATTTCGCATGAAATCAATTTTAAGAACGGAAAAATTAGACAAAGGAAACAACATCATCTTCCATATTTTTGCAAAAAAGTAATTCGTTGTAAATTTTAAATTTGTTCCTAAGTAATTTAAAGTAAAGGCAAGCTGTTTGTTCATTCTTTCCTTAAAAAACCTGTAAATAGCGCTCCGTCTTGCCCAAAAGCAAGTCTTGTCCCTTCTTCTCCCGAAAGTAGCGCCCCCTTCACCCTCTTGAAAGATGCGCTCCCTTCACCCTCCCGAAATTAGGGGCCCTAAAATTTAGCGGGAAATATGAGTGTTTAATAAAATTCCAGAAAGTAGCGGCCTGCATGCCCGTAAATGTCAGTCATCGCTTTCTTAATTGACTCGAAAGTGCTATGTTAGTGTTTAGCAAACAAAGTCTTGATATAATAAAAAATAAAAAGTAAATTAACTGAAATGTGTTAAACAGAAAGGGGCACAGAAGAATATTCCACAGAATATGTTAACATAATTTACCACCCTAAAGTAGACCCCCTGTAGTAGCGCTCCCCGAAAGTAACGCCCCCAACAGCGGATAAAACCGAAAGTAATGGGCCTCTACTTTCGGGATGCTATACGGTGTTTACATTTGTCTAGTTCATAATAAAATTTTCATTATTCACTTTCATTTCAACACTCGTTAGCTTTTCAATACAACCTCAAATTCGCTCATGCATCGGACCTATTCACTCTTCGTCATCTTTTTGTGAATACTTCTCTGCATAACATTTAGCGAGAAGTTGCGCTGAACGTTTTGAGGAAAATTGCCTCGTGCAGGTTTCGCGGAATTTGTGAAAAATCAAACGAAAGCAGGCCAGCAATTTACTATTTCAGTACACTATTCCTGTACTGTTGTTGACATTTCTTAAGAGCGATTGGCTGGATTCAACCGCGGGAAAGGCCTAGCGAAATTCGTCAGTTGATCCTAAATTAATAAAGTAACCTTACCGAAATGCCAGTATGCAGCATGTGTTTCCTTCCATATCGAAATATCTTCATTGTTCATCCCAAAGGCATAAAGTTATACGAAAATATCGATATAAATATGTAGAACCTGTAGGGCCGCGCTCGAAGGACATAAATGAACAAATGCAAAAATCCGAACAAACAGCTAAAACGTGACTTCACACGCGTATCCACCACTCTCCCTCTTCAATGTAAGTTGCATGTCCGCGTTATCTGCACTTCATATGTGATGAAAAATTCCATTCAACGTTGACTTGGAGGAGGGGGGGGGGGGGAATATTTATTTAGAGAAACGCCATTCTAGGCCAATGTCTGTGTTATCTATAACGTTTTGGCCGGAAATGCAGGCCTTCTCGCTTCTCGTCTCTCGCCAGCGCGCCTATATAGCGTCGTCGTGGAAGCGAAAGGCATGCGGAACTGGGTTGTCGTTCGCTGTGAATTCAAATCAGGAAAGTACTGATTGCAAGTTAGGAAAAATGTTCCTGACCTCGCCTGATGATAGGTCACAAATTTAGTCGGAATTTGCCGGCTGTCTACCTGAATCCCTAGGCCTACTCGTGCAACTTAGCCTTAAAATATAAGCGTACTTAAAAATGTATTCTTGAAAGAAAAACCACACGTGAAGCCAACCACATATTATCAGTGATATGTTAAATGTCTCACAGAGGATTTTTGATCCCGTTTAGATTTTGGAAGAAGTCATCGTTTGTTCCTGTTTACATAAGACAGACTGCTGTAAGTAAATGAATGTTGTATATTCCATTTCTCATCTTTGTAAATCATCGTCGATTTTGAGCCGACCATATACTAGCATTGCAATAAGGTTTTTCACACGATTTTATGAATTGGACAGTTCAACATCAATTATTTACCCATGTAGAATGAACTCACGGGTGAACATTCTTGCATTATGTTACGACGTCTTGATCACGTGGATGAAAGTAACACCGCTGATTGGCTTCAAGCATTTTGGACTGGTTAGTTACTCATTGAAAAGTCAACATTATGTAGCTTGATACACTAATGGTATATACAGGGTGTATAAAAAATGCCAAAGTGATTTGTACAGAGTGTCCCCAAAAAAACCTGACACTGTTTGATTTCATGTAACGTAAAAGCTATAAACGCTATCGCAATGAAATAACGATCATTGCATTCAGAAAGGACTAACTTGAATTTACATGCAATAGTGAGCGAGATACAACCAAAATAAAAATATTTATTATTTAACAAGTTTAACTACATCGGTAATTATAAGGTGTTTTATGCTAATTTTTGGCATTTTCAGAAACAGTAGGCTAGTTCAACGTTCAAACATCAATAGCGCAGTCAATATTGCATGTAAATTCAAGTGCTATATATCAAAATCTAAGTTTAAGTTAGTCCTTTCTGAACGCATGCAATGATCTTTATTTCATTGCGACAGCTTTTACAGCTTTTACGTTACATGAAATCAAACGGTGTCCAGTTTTTTTGGGAAATCCGGTAGATGAAAATTTCGAGTGGAGTTTTTATACATTTATATTAGACCCAAATAGGAGCATTTACGACAAATACATCAAAATTCCGCTCAAAATCCCCATGCATCTACAAATCCCTTCGACAATTACAGTAGTTGTGTCTTGTTAGATGCTCAGCATCCAGATAGGTATAAAAATACATTATACATTACTGTGCGGGTTAACCCCCCCGCGGAATTAGGTTGATAGAACCCCCCTGAACTAGATCACGTGACGAACTCGTGTTGTTGTTGTTGAGACTTGAGAGAAAATTATATTGTTATTTTATTTCGTGAGCATTAACTTTATGTCGTTATAATTTGATTATTCGAGCTTTTATAAATAAAGTTTTTATGTTTAATTATTTGTGAGTGTATATCGGAACGATTCGGTATAAAATGGTGCCGTGACCAGGATTTAAAGTCGATTTAAAATGGTAGAAACCACCGATGGAAGCGAGCGTACAATGGCGGAAGTGGAGGCGATCAAAACAAACGAAGACATTTCGCGAATGGAAAACAGTATCAAGAAGGAGATTTCTAAATTGAAATATTTATCTAGAACCAGCCGATGAGTTAATAGAGTCTAAAGACTACGAAGAAATGGCGATTGTTGCGCAAAGAACGGCGACAATTTGCGAAACTTTAACGGATATTATATTGAATGCTGTGGAGTTAAAAATAGAGCTTAACATGACACCTCGAGGCGTGAGACAGTGGAGAAACGATGTTAAATCAAGTTATTCGACGTTACTTGAGGAAAGAGAAAAGATTATCGAAGCTTTACGTGAGAGAGATCAAGAAATAAAACAAGACGAAGAAATGAAAGCTATCGAAGCAGAAAAACGACAACAAGAGAGAGTAGAGAGGCAACAAGACGAAGCCAGAGCCAGACAGGAAGAAATTGACGAACGTTTAAGGCGAGAGAGACATGAGAAAGAACGAGAACTTTTCGAAGAAAAGTTAAAATACGAAATGATAGCAACTGAGAAACGTTTAGAAATGGAAAACAAGGCCAAATCTACACAGGCAAAATTACCAAAATTGCGAATTTCTCCATTCAATGGCACACCAGCCGATTGGATTAGGTTTGAAAATATGTTCACAACGCAAGTACACGACAAACCAATAAGCGACGAAGAGAAATTTGGCTATTTATTAGAAATGGTCAATCCAAAGGTACGAGAAAGAATCAGTAATTTAAAGCCTAGTACATCAGGGTATAATACTGCATGGGACAGACTTAAGAGAGACTATGGTCACACAACATTAGTTGTGAATGCCCATATGGATGCCATTGTTAATTTGCCAGTAGTATAGGGGTCAAGTTATGAGAAAGTAAAAGAATTCTATGAAAAAGCAAGTCAAAGTTTTGATGCACTAGAAACTTTGGGAAAGAGTGATATGTTAAAGGGATTTGTACTGTCGACATTAAATAAACTGCCAAATATTAAATCAGATTTGGTGCGCACAGATAATGAATGGGAAAGCTGGTGCATGAAAGATTTACTTGACAACCTTCAACAATGGTTAAAGCGAAACAAGATGACAGCAGAAACATCCAAGCCATCAGATAGCCCTAGAAAAGAGAGACAGTGGTGGACACAGAAAGGTGAGAAGAAATCAAAGGAGAGAAAATGTTTATTTTGTGCGGAAAACCATTGGTCTGATAACTGTCCTAGCCAAGATACAAAGGAGAAGAGGAAAGCATTCTTTGTTGCATGCAAGCTTTGTTTTAACTGTGGGTCTCCAGGCCACAGAGCCAGTGATTGTAAGAGCAGAGGATGTCACACATGCCAAGGAAGACATCACACTAGTTTATGCGACCGAAGGAAGAATCCGGACCTGGTATTGCATGCACACACCGATAACAAAGAAGCACTTCCACCCATTATTCTTGTAAAAATTCAGGAAGAAACACTGTGGGCCTACCTTGACACCGGGTCAGGGAGGAACTTTATATCAAGCAATGCTATGGAGAAGTTAAATATGGTGCCGACACGCCATGAAGTCCGACAAATTGTGACCCTTAATGGCTCAAAGGAACAAACCCTACCAGTCTATAATGTAGAGATTCATTCAATTAATGGGGAGCAAGTGGAAAATATCGAAGTTACTGGATCACAAATGCCAAACTTCACAACGATCCAGAGACCAACCATTAGTGAACTGAAGGAGAAACTTGCGCATGCAAGGGACAAACAATTCTATGTGACAAAGGACAACAAATATCCAATCGATCTGATAATTGGTGACAATCTTTACTGCAAGATTAAAACGGAAGAAATATTTAAAGAAAAAAGTAACGAGCCAGTCGTCGAAGGAACCACATTTGGGTGGGGGATCCATGGTGGTGAGTATCCAGTGGATGAATGCCTGTTTACCACTGAAGTTGCGGACTACGAAAGATTATACAGTTTGGATGTTCTTGGAATTGAAGACCGGAAAGAGAATGACCAAGATGAAGTGCTGCTGGAGTTTACAGAAAATATTACGAGGAAAGCAGACGGCAGG